GGATAGCGAGTATATATATATATATATATATATATATATATATATATATATATATATATATATTGTTGATACTGATAATTCCGTCGAGGCAGCTAGCCAGCTAGCCGCCTAACCAACTAGTTATCTTGCTGGCCAGCTGCCTCCGCAGCTAGCAGACCAGTACGTTTGTGCATCGCGAGGGGCTTGTGTTCAGATATGTACACATACACGTACGCATGCACATACACGCAGAAGCCTGCATGCATGCCTTTCACAGGCTTCCTTGTACAGTAGGGTAGCGCCGTGCCGCTATTGCTGCTGCTGTGCTGCAGTACGGCAGCAACTAGTGCGGGGGACAGAGATATTGGCCCTAGCCTGGTAGCAGCAGAGCAGCGCAAGGCGCATAAAGCAGCAGCTTTATAAACAAAAAGCACACCCCTGTAAACAGCAAAAACAGAGCCGGCATGAACTGATAAGCAGCAACAGAAGGCAAAGCCCTGGAACAGCAACAGCAAGGTAGTTGCAACTGCTGTTCGTTTGTAATTGATACCCTGTTACCTTGTTTCCGTCAATGTGCGTCGTTTCCTCTTTTCGCACGGAAGCATGGGGTGAGGCCCTAGTAGATATCAACAAGGACAATTTAGGCTATTGCGGCGATTGTTAGGTCTCGCCTTCGTCAAAGCGGCCTAACAAATCGCCGCTCCATCAGCATACGCTGAAAAAATTTCAACGACAGTAACAGCAGCGTTAAGAGCAGGCGCTGTAGCAGGAGCACCAGCAGCGGCTGCAGCGAACACGAACAATTCCTCGGGGCACGAGCCGAACCAAAAGACGAGCCCGAAGCCACAAGCCCTTGAATATCTATCCTTAACTGAAGTTCTAGAAGTTCGTCTAGGGGAGTTAGGGTTTAGAGTCTGTGGTGTACGGGCTACGGCATCATGCTTACTCGGCGTCGGCGCCCCTCTCGAGCGCGGCGGGATGCAGTCTGCTTCCCACGAGCTGTTTGTTTACATTTTATCCAAAGGAGCGCCCATCCATCCGGCGTAAAATATTAATAAACACAAATATTAATAAACACAACAGTAAACACGAACCGCAAAACTTATACGTGCTTCCGTGGTGTTCCATATCACCCCCGACACATCTGCATCGGAGTTGGGTAGTTGATATCGGTGCCTCTGTCTCCTTCTTGGAACGCATGCAAACTGTAGCCCCAGGGCTTATTGGTTTTGTTTGCATATCTTGCCTTTGTCCGTTTCCTCAGCGGTGTAGCCAAAAGGAAACAAGCTGCCGCCGCCTTTTGCTGCAGCTCAGAGGGGGCCCAGGGCCCCCTCTGAGCTGCCGAGCATCCCCAGCTGGGCATGCAACTACAGACCGCCCCTAAACAGTGCGGACGGCATGTCTACCATATGCGGGACCATCGGGGGCCCCGTTTGCTACCCCGTATGCATTGGGGCCTCCTTGCTCCCCTCCTGTTGTGTGTGCTGCATGACGTGCTCATCTTCCCTGGTGCGAGCACTGTGCCCTCCTGTCTGTCGACGCCCCCCTTGGGCTTCTTTATCTCCTCTATTATCTGTTGCGCCTCCCCCAGGGACCCCCGGGGGGGCCCGGCGTGGGTCCCCCCTGTAGGCTTCCAACTGTTCTCAAAGCAAAGCCCGTCGCGAGCCCTGCTCGAAGCCTCACCATCGGGCCCTTTATGGGGACCCCCTGGGGGACCCAAATGGGGCCTCTACTGGATAGCTTACAGAGCACCTGCTGGCTATTGTTGGGCCCTGAGAAGCAGCAAGTTGTCAGGAAAGACGCCCCCATCTGCTCTCGGAGGAAGCGGATCCCTTGGAGGCAGCGTGTTGAGAGGAGACCGTCTGGGGGCCACGTTAACTTCAAACATGGCTTCAAGCGGCGACAGAAAAGGGGCAAACCGCTCCTCTATGCGAGGCATCTTCCCGGTGCCGGTGTCCCCCAAGCCCCAGCTGCGACGGGAAAAATGGCAGGAACCCGCATGTATGGGGTCAAGCCAACACAACCACACCGCCTCCGATATGCAGCAACACGTCAAGCAAGTTCAGAAGGTGCACCAGGTGGAGCAAAAGGAACGGGAGGCGGGGGACGTTGCCGTCCCGCTGAAGAGGTTGATGGCGTCATTGGGGTATCGGGAATTACTGGGGGGACAGGAGGAAACACTGCGACGGTCTGCAGAGGGACAAGACCTCGTTATCTGCAGCCCCACAGGCTCGGGAAAGTCCTTTTCTCTCCTGCTTCCCCTGCTGCAGTGGCACACCTCACGCTCAGCAGCAGCAGCACAAGTACCAAAGGGAAGTGCTGCAGCAAGAGGAACAGCCAGCAAGAGAATGCTGTTTATGGCTGACGTCCACAACAACTGCAGCAAAAGGCCTTTGCCATACGCGACACAGGAGGAGCTGCCTGTATTGGGCAGCAATAGGTCTTCAGCAGCAGCAGCAGCTGTCTGCACAGCAGAGGCAGTTTCCCTTGTGGTTGTTCCTACTGCAACTCTGGGGCTTCAGCTTTTGGGGGAGGTTACGGAAGCTGCTCGCTTCTGGCTTTCGGTAGCTGCGGCATTTCGAGACCGACAAGGCGACAAACGGAAGTCACGCGCGGCGCCTCTTTGTGTCCCTAGGCTGCTGCTGATCGATAACACCATCCCACAGCAGCAGCAACTCAATGACCCCTTCGGGAATCCTGCAGACACGGCAGCCGGAACCACTACCCACGACAGTTTTAGGAAAGGGACTGAAGGAAGTCACTGCAGGCGTTCATTGAGGGACTTACAGAGAGCGTAGGGGCCCACTCCCCCCGCAACTGTCTCCTTCTTTCTCCTCCCATCGTCTTCTGCCTTTTGTCTCTCCCCGTCTCGTGCTGCTTCACCCGTCTCGTCTGTCCCTGGCATTTCCTGTCCCATTCTCAAGGGGGAGGCTCTCCTTTACGCCCTCTACTGTCCCTCTGGCCTTTTCTCTTTGCGTCCCTACTTCCCTTCTGTGTTTGCCGTCCTTTTCTGTCTCGTGTACCTCTCTCCTATGTGTCTCACCTCCTGCCTCCTCCTGTCTTGTCTCCCCCCTTCTTCTGTCCTCTCTGCGTCTGTCTGACGCTGTGTATTTTCCAGTCGGGGCCTTGCTTTTTCTTCTCCTCCTGTCATGCTGTCGCTTCCGGCTGACAGTGTCTGTCTCGAAGCCCCCCTTCTTGCCTCCTGCCGCCCCTGTCTGATCCTGTCTCTGAATGGGTCTCTCCCGCGCTTCAGCCTCCTGCTTTTCTCGTTGCCATTGCCTGCCTCGTTGTCCATGTCTCTGCTTTCCCCGCTTGCATTGTCTGCTGCCTCCGATGAAGTGTCCCTTTTGGTCCGTTTTGCCATCTTGCGAATTTTCCAGGACAGATCCAACGGGCCTGATTTTGTTTGCGACGCCCCAGACGCTGAAAAGCCTCCTTTTGGTGCACCCCACGAGCGTGTCTATCACCTTTTCCCTACCTCCTGTCTTCTGTCCCTTGACGGTCTCCCTACCCCGCTGTGCAGTCCTGTCCGCAGCCAGTGCCCTTTGCTGTTCACCTGCTGTGTCAGCTCTTCGCTACCAGCACATTATCGTGTAGAAATACCCTGCACTAAACCCGAAACCCTAAACCGTAATCATTTGCATGTGTGCTGCTGGCTGTGCCTTTGCAGCGTCTCCTTAATGTGGGGCCCCCTGGCGCGTTGCGCCACTTCGCCTCTTGCGTCCGTCATTTGGTGCTGGATGAAATTGATACAATGCTGCACCCAATCCGTCTGTCGTTTACTCCATGCCTGTCTATGACTCCACTGCCATTTCTGTATCTGTCTCTGTGTGTGCTTCTGCCTTGTTCATGCGGGAGTTTCTCTTGTTATTTCTGTTTCTGTCTTACCGATCTTCGTGTGTGTATGTCTTGCTGTGTCCGTCTTCCTGTCTCTGTTTCGCTCCCGACATCTTTCACTGGCTCTGTGTCAGTCTCAACGTCTGCTTCCCTTGCTGCTGCTTCCTCTGTTCCTGTGCGCTGTAGATTTGCTTCTCTTGCATATTGGCCGGTCTCTGCGTGCCTGCCCTGTGTCGTCTCACCGTCTGAATTCTTCGCCTTTGCGTCTTCTTTATTCCTCCTTTATCTATTCCGTATTTCTTTCTTTGTCTTTAGTCTCTGTGTGCGTTTCTGAGGTCTTCCCTGTGTATCTGTCTGCCTCTGCTCCTGCCTCCTGTGTTTTTACCTCCTTGCTCGGTATCTTTCTTCTGCTGCCGCGCCTTCTAGCACACTGACAAGTCCTTCGCTCTTTGGATGTCTCTCCAAGGCCATGTGTCTCAGTTACGCAACACTGGTGTTGCACTTCGACACAGCCTGCAGCAGCAGGAATTGGCGGTTGTCAATGCTTATCTACGTGGCAGAAGCTCAGTGAGGGTACATTCTGTCTCTTTTGTCTTGCAGGCCGCCACGCACCACTAAAAGAACGCATGCAGCGGCTAAAAGAACCCCAAATGGCTGAGGTGCTGCTGCAGCTGTTAGTGCAGAGTCGGTACCCCTCTACAGGCGTTGCCGGGGCTACGGTGGATGTCCCAAATGGCAAGTTTGAGGAGCCAGAGCCCCAGGGTTCGCAGCAGGCCAAGACTGTTTCCTCCTCCGGGCCTCCTCTCCCGCTGCAGGTTCTCGCCGCCAGCGCCACTCTTGGCAGACCCCTGCACCGCTACCTGGCAAACCTGACTCGGTGGAAGCAGCAGCAGCTAGTGCTGCTGCAGGCACGCGAGCCTCCACTAGAAGGCTTCCCCTTCAATAGATTCAGCAACGACCCCCAGCCTTCAAGCCTCAAAAGGTGGCAGCCTGTCTCTGGCGCCTTCGCGACTCCGCAGCAACGGATGAAAGCGGCATTCGAGCGCCTCGCAGATAGGGGCCTGCTGGGCCTACCCCGCCTTCCCCGAGACTCTAGCGAGCCCCCACAAGTGGCTCGTCTAGGGCTGGGGATGGATTCGCCCCCAAATGCTTTCAAGGCCGTGCTGCCAATCATCAGGTGGGATACGATGTGTACTCATTCAAGGTTGCCTCTAAATGGGAGTGTTGACAGCCTTCTCTTGCTGTACACATTGGATGGCCTTAGGCCCAAGGCTTGGTACTCCACACGGGGCCGAAGCGGAGGCGTTGTATTGCGCGAACTGAGTGTCTAATGATCAATGCTTGAAATGCCTGAGGCGGGGCGCAAACGAGTTGCCTTGGAGCCCTAGTTAGGCCCTTTTAATGAGTCGTCTAGGCAGAGACTTCATAAGCTGTCATGTGTGTGTAAAATGATGCCGATTAAATATGAAGCTCTGTAAAACGTCCGGGGTGCAGCAAAGGGCCAAACTAACTATCCTAAGGCCCAGCAGAGACTTCATAAGCCGTCATGTGTGCGTAAGACGATGGCGATTAAATATGAAACTCTATGGCGCGTCCGGGGAGCAGCAAAGGGCCGAACGAACTCTCTCCTGCTCGGAGCGGCGCGTCTGGTGCTGATTGCTTCCTCAAGCTTGCATTTTCCCTATCTGTCCGCTGCGGTGCTGGCTGCCTGCTGGCGTCCCGTGTGTTGTCGGGTGCGAACAGCACAGCGTTGGTAGAGCTACAAGACCGAAGAGGAGACGTCCCTAAGGGCCTTATCTTGCTGGTGCGTTGACATGTTGTGTGCCTACTCGCTCCAGGTCAGCAGATGCCGGCTCGATGTCTCCGAAGGGCCGTGTGGGGATCTCTTCGTCTGTTGCTCCGCAGCAGTCCCCTCTTTCTGTGGGTACTCCAGGGGATGCCTTTGGGCAGCCCCCTCTTTCTGTGGGTACTCCCGGGGATGCCTTTGGGCATACTGCTACTCATTGCCGTCGGCGGGGACAGACTATTCCTTCCTGCATATCGCACGCCCTATTCCCCGTCCCCGATAACTCTGCGGGTATGCAGCTGCTTGCCTCTGTCTGTGTTGTCGTCTGGCTTTTGCCTGTTGCACTTGTCTCCGCGGTGCGTCTGGTTGCATTCGGTATAGAAGAGCAGACACTGAAGTGGATGCCGGTCTTTTACTCTGTGATCGGTCGCATTGTTCAACAAATAGGACTGGCGTGTGCTTGCTGCGCTGGATGCAGAGACTCTTGCAGCTGCTGCTGCTGATGTCTGTAGCCGACTCCGGCCCCGCCGAGCCTTGCTGCTGCTGCAGGACGGGTCATCGCTGCGAACACTCCAGCTGTACATGAATGCTCAAGGCCACAAGGTAGGTAGTTTGCTGGCTACTTAACCCTCTTGCTAGCGGGCAGGACAGTTACTCCCGTGCCGGCTCTTGTCCCTGTTCCTGTTCCCCAACAAACAGATTCACTTGTCGCTGCTGCTTTTGTGCGGAATTCCCCCAGGTGGATCTTCTGTGTCACACCAATAAGTGGTGGAGGACCCCTAGGGTGCAGCAGCAGGGTAGGTCCCACAATCGCCTATGTTCCGACCACCCCAGCAAGGGCAGCAACAGCATAGTTAGCCGGTGCAGCAGCAGTCGCCGGGGTCGCCGCTTCATTGCTACCGCTGCTTCACTGGTATTTGTCACTGGCTGCATGGGCTCACCTGTCCGTCTGCGGCGGTCTGGAAGCGCTGGCCCCGGACTTTCACCTTCTTTTGCTCTCCTGGCGTTTGTGGTTTGTCGCACACTTTCATGTTCTCAGGAGACACTGGACAGGTGCAGCAGCCACAAGAACTACTTGCTGCTACGATGCAGAGTGTCCGAGGCCTCCACGTCGCGGGCGTAAGTCACACCGTGCTGCCTGTCGTCACTAACTGTCCCCCTGCCTGTATCCAGTAACTGTCTCCCATCTGCATGCCTCCAGTGACGGCTTCCTTGTTGCATGCGTCAAACAACTGTTTGCGTCTTGCCTTTCTGTTTCGCTGGAACCGGTGCGGCGGAAGGATCTAAGCGTTAAGATATAGGCTCTAAATAGTGTTAAGTGGCCCGTAAATGTGTGTATCGGGGGATTGCAGCCAAACGAATAGAGCTTAATTGATTAAAGAACTGTGTAAACATCGAAGAGGGGGCAGGTCAGGTGGAAGCATCCTGGTCTACCCCCTCTACTTGGTTCATGCATTTGTGTATCCTCGCCGTTGTCACTTTTTTCCTGCATCTTTCCAGGCAGAGGTGCTGATCCTGCTCGGTCGGGTGAAGAATGTCAAGGACTACATACACCTAGCGGGTGCGTCTTGGGGCGGCATATCTGAGCCGATTTATGCTGTACGCCGGGTCTGTGTAATGGGGTGGGGTTGATGTGATGGGGGCTACATGCCGTGTGTGGCGTATGTTTGTTGCATGCTGACTGTTGAAAACTGCATGCATGCACTTTGGGGATGTGCAGGTCGCGTTGGCCGCTGTGGCCAGGACGGCCTCTCCGTGGCGATCTCGGACGATGCTACCCAACGGCAAGCTATACTTCCTTCTACATACACTGCAGCGCCCCAGAAGGACAGCATTTGTTTGTGGCTAGACAAAAGCCTCTCCGTTCCTCATGCTTCCCAGTTGTTCTCTGGCTTCTGTTCTTGCCCCTGGATTGTCTCTCAACCCAATCTGCTTTATCATGTAGTGTCTCTTTTCGTTCGCTAATGAGCTGCAGCTACTTCTACCTGAGACTTTAGCGTTTACTCTTTAGAGTGCAGTATGGTACAATTTTCCCTTTTGGCCTGTCTTGTTGTCTGTCCACCTTTTCGTTGCAGCGTCCTCTTGAGCTGGCAAAAGACACTGGGGATTACTTTTGGGGCCTTCGAGTCATTGCTTCCTTCCGATAAGCTCGCGAAGGCAGCGGTAGAAAAGGCGGTTCCCCGCACCAACCCCACACGTACAGCCCAATCCCAGCAACAAATGCAGCAGCATCAGCACGAGACAGTGGCGACGGGTGGGAGGCAAGAGGCAGGGTGCAACTTGCAGAGGGGGAGTGCGCAGGGGCACGGAGGAGAGACCCAGCTAGACAGAAGCTCAGAGGGCTTTCCCCGCCCACACCTACCGTCTCTTCTGCTGAACTGAGGGTTCGTCTAACGCTGTCACCGCATAAGGCACGCGGTGACAACTGATGTAGGCTCTAATGTTGTTGTATTGCATGCTCTTGATCGCTTGCATGTAGCTCGTCACTGTCTTTTGCCAAAGAGATAATGAGACAAACTGTATGTGCTGTGGAAGCTCCCCCTTCGCTGCCTGTAGTGGTAGTGCAGGGGAAGGCCTAAACAGAAAACCCTAAACTGTATACTGCCCTTTCAGTTGAAAGCTCCTATTTGCAGTAGCTAAACCCTAAACCACAGAACGAGCAATGAGCGCCACGTGGGTCCCTGCATCCCTCTTATCCGTTCTCGCATGTATAGAAACTCTCGCATGTATAGAAGCTACGGCCCAGCAGTCTCCTTTAGACGCCAGAGCGACTTTCCTACATGTACATTTGTCTGCGCACATTCTATCGCTGAAATATATGATGCTTTCCTCGCTCTGTCTCATCACCATTCATATCCTCCTTGGAACTTTAATATCTTAGCTCACGACTCTTCGTTGGTCTACACTGAGCACTGACTTCAGTAACAACATACTCGAGAATGTCAATGTGTACAATGTCTTCAACGGCTGGCACACAGCAATAAAAAACCCGATTGTCCCCAAGACTCCAGCAAAGCACCAGTTTGTCTCCCCTCCCCGTCCCTGTCTACAGCGGCCCTCAGCTGCATGCACGCCGTAGTAGGCATTGCACGGCTTGAGGCCTTTGGGGGCCTTCAAATTCACGAGGATGCCCTACAGAGCTTTGTGCATTCACATTCTCTGCCCCAGCCAATGATGCCCATTGTGTCCTTGGGTGCAATACTACCAACACCAATAGACAAAAACTGCAGAAGGAACAGCAGCAACTTTTGCTACTGCTGCTGCTGATCCTGAAGCGCCCTTCCAGCGCGTCAGCGGCTAAGAGACTTCGGAAGTTGAACCGGGGATGTCTCCCAGCTCGTGGTCCCTGCACCTGTGTTTTAGAGTTGTCCTTTTCTTCAGCCCATTGGGGCAGCAATTAGGTGCTGTCGCCCTTTGCGCTGTCTGCACAGCCGCACCTCCCTATAACATGCCAGCAACAGCCGCACTGCTGCGCCCACTACCGCCAATCGGCTGGTCAACAGGGCCAGACCTGAGGAATGAACGCACAGAAACACGTAACACCAGACAGCTCCTAGCAAACACCAGCAGCAGCAGAAGCAGCAACAGCAGCAACCGGCAAGTCCGCCGGGGAGGCGGGAGCTGCGAATGAATTCTAAGGGTCGCATATGGGGTGTACGTGCGTGGCTAAGAGGAGTCCCCACCTGACGCTAGGACGAGGTAATTCGCGATGCTGCATGCACTGGCAGGCTCAGCCGCTGCCCAGGCTCCCATCACCCACAGCGCGCCTACAATCTGAAGGGCCAGATACAGACATTGAATAAGACACACAGGGAGAAGAAACAAACAACCAGTTAGTCAACTGCTGCAGATTTCCTGCGGAATGACTGAGGGTTTACACGTGTGTGGGCACGGGCTGCATTCACAAGCGACGAGGGCTTAGCATTTCCGCATTAGAGTCTAGTGTCCAGGACAGGATTTCTCGAGCAGCTCACCACCTCCCGCCTCTCACACAGCCTAGAATGGTAGTACACACATGCCGAGACAGCCCGTCGAAGTGTATGCTGCATGCAGAAGCCCCACAGACAAGGTTCTCTATCCCTTCTCTTGCTGCAGCTGCAATCCCAATCACCGCAGCCCCCCTCCCCTACAGTCTTTTCTCGTCCCCTTGAGCTGAAAACGGGCAACTTCGAATATTTCATGCTTCAGCCGCTGCATCTGCAGCGTTGGCTGTTGCATTTGAGATGCTGCTGCTGGGCTGTTTCTGCACGACTTACGTGGCACTGGCGCACGCGGAGTTGCAGCGGAGGCGGCACTGCAGCTGAAAGCAGCGACCGCAGCAACGACGTCTCCGAGCAGTTTTCTGACTCGCTGACTTCAAAGGCCTTGAGAGACCCTGGGGCGCCACTTTGTCGGGTCTTCTCCCGACACATGCCCCTGTCTGCAACAGGCTTCGCTTCTGTTGAGGTGGCTGCTGCCGCCGCTGCTGCGGCGGTAACAGCTACTGCAGCGTTGTCCCCCCTGCCGGCCGAGCACGCTTTTTCAGGAGAAGATGGCAGCTGAATGAAGGAGACAATCAGCAGCAGCAAGCCCTGCAGGCAAACAAGCCACATACTCTGCTGTGACTATCACTCGCCAGCGGGAAATGAAAAGCAGATACAGAGACGCCTATCGGCTGGAGACATAAGGCGGCACTCCAGGGCTAGGGCTAAGTGTTTAGAGTTTACTGAGAGGAACAAAAGGGCAGCCGGAAAGAAGCAGGGATGCCTCCACAAAAAAACAAACGCCAAGAGACACGCAACACTCAGTACTGGCCGCTCCCAATACACCGCGTCGTACATTCCTGCAGCAAGCACCCCCAATGGCCTGAGAGAAAGACGCAAGAGCAGCAGCAGCAGTTTGTGTCCAGTTCGTGTTCTATGTTACACAAGCTGGAGAGAAGAGCCGCTAAGCACACAGAACGATAAGATGTCTGCTGCTCCAGTCCCAAATGCATTGCAGCAACACCTTCCCCCATTTGCAGCAGCCGTAGCCCCAGCAGTATCACCATACCCTTCGGTAAGCTTCCTGTGGGCATCCTGAATGTCGCTCCAAACGGCCGGGAAGTTCAGCGGCGGCAGAGCAGCCTCTTGCGTCTCCTGCGGGGTCGGAAGGAGCAACGCGGAGAGTTCATCAAGTAAAGGGATGGTGCTGCACTTCGATGTATTGTGGGGCAGCAGCTGCAGCATAAGTCGCATTCGACAGCCCCCCAATTCTGCCTGCCCCTGCCGTTGCTGCTGCTGCAGTTGCTGCAGCTGATGCTGCATGTCTTTTGCGATCTCCTCTTCGTCCAGCTCGGCTGTGTACAACGACGACCCCTCTGCGTCCCCGCTGCTGTTGCTGCTGCTGTTGCTGCTGCTGTTGCTGTTGTTGTTGTGCTTGCAGCTGCCGCTGTGTTCGCCGCATAACCCGCAAAAGGGCTCCTTGATGAGGGCCCGTGTTTCTTGGGAACGGTGCAGGTAACGACTGCCCTGCAGCACTACGAAAGCCTCTTCCTTGCCAGACAATACACCCTCATCAAGTACGGCGAAGGGTGCAAACACAGTCCTGACAAGCAGCGGCAGCAACAGCAGCAACATGCAGCTACTTGCCCCCGGAGTAAGGAAGGCTACAAGAATGCGAGGGAACAAGAAAACCAGATGATGGACAAACGCAAAACGGAGCCCCATGAGCACAGAGTAGAAGGAAAGAAAAGCCGAAGGACGGAAGGCAAAAAGGGACAGCACGGAGACAATGTTGTACTGGAGAGAGAAACCACATGTGACGAGACACAAAATGAAGATGAAAAGCATAGGGAAGAAACAAGAGTTGGGTGGACATGAGGGTTCAAGGAAGGCAACGCGTAGAGCAAAGGTGAGGGCGGTAAAGGAAGACAAAAGGGAGATAGAAATGAGGAGGAAGAAATATGAAAGGGACGTAGAAATGAGGCGGAAGAAAGACGAAAGGGGAAAGGAGATAGAGGGGAGGTGAAAGAAAAACAATATGGAAACAATCACAGAAAGGCAGAGAAGCGGCGGAGGGAAAAGCAGGCAGAGGAGAGGTGAAAGAAGGACAACACGGAGACAACCACAGGAAGACAGAGAGGTGGTGAAGGAAGGAAAGGGGGGAAAAATGACACCAGAGGGGGAAATGACGCTCACGTGATGTCGTAAATGCGCTGTGCCAGCAGAAGGTGGAGGTGAAAATCCGCAGCCCCCAGCAACTCATCACCACCGAGAGCAGCGGTCGAAGTGTCTCTATCATACAGGGCTAATCGAAGCACACTGTAGGGCTGGTGCAGCTGAACCAGACAATCAGTGGCAGCAGAAGCAACAACAAAAACAGTGATGCGCTTAAAGGAGAACAACAACAACACGGCAGCAGGGCCACGAAGGACAGAGGCAGCAAGAGAAAATGCCACCCAAGGGAAGTCAGGAACACCAGCAACACTCGATGCAGCTACAGCAACAACCGCAGCGGCAGCAGCAGCAAAAACAATAGCGACAGTAGCGACAGCAGCAGCAGCAGAGACGTCTACCTGGATTTCAATCCTTTCATTCCAAACAGCTTGGAGACAGTCACTCAGACTCGTCGAGTCACAGCGCAGCACCGCACTTCTGTATATGTCTTTGCCGTTAAGACTGACCACAACTGCAGCAGCACCAGCAGAAGCAGCAGGATTGCTAGACAAACAGTGAAGAGTACGGGCCGCCACCCCAACCACTTCTGCACATGCAGCACCGGCCCCAGCGGGTGCCTAGATGTGGTGAAAGGCGTGTACATGCATCGTCAGCAGGCAGAGAGATGGCATTTGCCCTCTGCATATGTTCGATACATTTCGAAACCAGATGTACCCGTATACACTTCTGCGCGTTTGCGAGTTTTCGCCCACACAAATATGCCTACTGATGTGTCCATGCACATCATTATAGATACGAATACACATATTTCTACAGAAGAGAGAGAATCGTGTTGAATAGGACTGTTGCAACGGCCCACTGAGACGCGCAAGCACGCATGTGTGTGTCCCCAAAAGTGCTCCAACACTGCAAATGCCCTTTGCGTGGCTTCTCCCCAAACAACTCCAGGACAAAATGACTCACTGTACGGCCTGTATGGAACATGTATCGAGGGCTGAGACCCCTCAGCTATTTCTCCATTCTCCTGAGTCCTGTCTCCTGCATCGTCGGCGAGGCATTCCTCATCAAGGATCTCAGGCACCACATAGCCCAGCAGCAGCTGCAGCCGGGCGTATCCCCGCTGTACACACACCCCAAACAGTAGACTACACGCAAAACGCTCAACACAGCTCAACACAGCTCGCGTGCACGGAACATAGCCGCCCACACCTCGGAGCTATGTCCTAAGCCCTAACCACTAGTTCTACAAACGTGATGCTATTTTTTTTTCCTAAGCAGAGGGACTTCGGGAACAAGTCTTTCTGCTGTTCTGGATCTGGGCCCCTGTCTCTCTATCTCTACTTTTCACAGTATGCCTTTCCATGGGCATCCAGATCTGTCTCTGTCTCCGCCTCAACATATGTATCCGTCTCTGTCTCCCGCGTGGTTTCCCTATCTGTCTCTAGCTGCCACTCTCGCTCAATATCTGTCTCTAGTAGTTTGTCCGTAGTCGAGGTAGCCTCCTGTTCAGCGTCTCTGTGCCAACACCTCATTCCATCTCATCACTCAGCATTTCTGTCTCTCCGTCCGTGAATCGCTGTGTCTGTGTGTCTCATTAAGTAGTTTACTCTGCTTGAGGCGTTTGCCGCCTCCTCGGGGAACGCGAGGCACGCCACTCTACTGAAGTTCTTGGTGACAGAAAAGGCCCGAAAGGCAGCAGTCGGCTGTCTCATCGGGAGTCGCCGATCCCAAGCCCCCGACCCACTGGAAGCGTCTCCATTCCCAGCAGGGGACCCTGCAGGAGAGCCTGTTGTTGCTGCTGTAGTGGTTGCCGCTCCGGAAGCAGCAACACCAACACCACCACGACCGCTTCCGCCGCAGGACCACCGCTGCACAAGGGCAGTGCCTTCAGGCAACACGCAGGGGCCAGACAAGTCCGGAGGCGATCCCGTTCCCTGCGCCCGTAGAAGCGCTAGAGAGGCGCGCCGCGAAGACATATCCCACATTGTGAAGGCACCCCAGGACACCCCAGCCTCTCCCAATGCAAACGGAACTCCCAAACAACATATGCACCACACAGTGCACCAGTTGGTCAACGAAGAGCAGCGCCAGCAGTAGCTGCAGCAACTTCGCCGGTGTCTGGAGCCACCGTCCGTTGGACCGAACGCAGAGACACACGCAGCAGAGGCAGCAAAAACACCACTAAGACCGGGTCAGCCTGCTACCGCTCCCGTCCTCAGCAAAGAATTGCTGCCCTGTCGAACTACCAGCAGCACACGAAGAAGATGCGTTAGATCCACCGGTCCGCAGGCGTCGACTGCCCCTGCGGAGCTCGGGGCGTACACACCGGCTTTGCTGTTGCTGCTGTAGTCGCTGCTGCTGTTGTTGCTGCTGCGGTTGCTGCTGTGAACGCTGCTGCTGGTGTCAATGACGAAGCCCACGACGCACACCACAGGACTGGAGCAAGAAGCGCAGCAGCAGCCCTGCAGCGGTAGCAGCAGCAGCTCTTGCAGCTTGTGTGTCGTAGAGAAAAGGAGAATGAGCAGAAATCCGGATAAAGACAGAAGAGATGGCAGAGAACGGGGGCCTCGAGACGTCGATGCTTTTGCTGTTGCTGCTGCTGCTGCGCGCCGCAGCTAGGCAGTTGTTTACAAGGACGACGCGAGCCAAGTAGAACAAAGGGAGCGATAAATGAACAATCAGGCTGCTTCACGCAATACTCTTTGCAGCTATTGCAACGAAGTCAATTTAGAACAGTGATCGCAGCAGCAGCTTCGGCGGCAGCAGCCGTTGCTGCTGCTGGTGTTGCTGATACTGCCTCGGGCTTACGGCAGCAGAGCCCTGTCTCCAGCCTCTCCAACCAACTCCTCTTGCCTCTGCTGCTGCTACAGCGGCAACATTAGCAATAGAAATCCCTTCATATTGTTTGAGCAAACAGAGTAGGATTTTGCCTGTTTTTGTCTCTATTGTCTGTTCGGGTTGCTGATGCGAGCCCCCTGCGGGCCCTACAGCAGCAACAACAGCAGCGGCAGCAGCATAACCGCCGCCTTGCCTTCTGCACTTTATCCAGGGAACCTATAGGTAGGCCGTCTCACTCACCTCCCAAGAACTCAGCAACTTGAAGACCTCAGCCGCGAAGCAGCAACAGCAGCAGGAGCAGCTGCGGCAGGAAGTCTGAGCCAGCAGCAGCGGCTGCAGGAGCAGTCGCAGCATTAACTGTGGCTGCTCATACAGAAGCATCTTGATATATTGCACCTTCATATATAAGGACATTTTGCTGCAATGACAGCAGCAGCTCCTGGGGCCGACCCGCCCCTGGCTGTACACCAGAGCGCTAACCTCCTTTTGGCGTCAGCAGAAACATCAGCTGCTACAGCACATGAGCCTCCTCCACCTTTGCCTGTCTTTGCATCGGGGAACGCGCAACTGGAGCAGCGGTTGCTGCAGACGTTTGCTGCTCTCAGAATCCCAAGAGGGCCTCCTGCTGCAACTCCCGGTGCGGCTGCTGCTGGATCTGTTGCTGCGGACAATGAAATCGTAGAGCACCCACGTTCAACATCTGTCCCACATGCTGAGGGGCTTCTGGCTGCAAGGCAGACCCCAAGAGCTGCTGCTGCCACCGCTTCAGAGATGTGCGCAAGCCCAGCAGAGGCGGATGCAGAAAGAGAAGCACCAGCAACGACGGCGACAGCGCAAGTTACAGCTGCATGCGCTAGCGACAGCAGTAGGGGGGCGGCGCCAATCGCTTCCAGTGAGCAGCCAGCGTGCCGAAATTTAGCAGCAACAGATTCAGGTGCACGAGAAGCAGAGGCTGCCGTAGCAGCAGCAGGAGCAGCCGGCGGAAATGACTTTCCTGAAGCACCACGTGGGCGTGGAGTGCAGGAGCAGCAGGGGACATTGCTGCGACGTCCCGCTGCAGCGAGAGGGGAATCCCCTGGGGCTTGTAGTGAGGCTACGGATAGCACGCGGTGTACAGACACTTCAGAAGTTGTCCGGCCGCCGGCATTTGGCTCATGGAGGCATTATTCCTTAGCAGATGTTCCAGAAGAGTCGATGAGCGCTGCAGGCATGCAAAGAGCCTGTCAGCTCATGCTGCAGCAACTGCGACGCGCCACTGTAACTGCAGAAACGGCCGCCCCAGGTGCTGCTCCTACTTTTTCTGCTGCTTCTCAGGCCGCTACTGTGGCAGCTGCTACTCCGTTTGCTCCAGCCGCTGCTGGAGAAACAGCAGCAACAGCAGAGGCAGAGCCAGAAGATCCGCGAGTCCGTGTGGGGCCGCGGAGGCGGGTCTAAGGCTTCCACGGGATGGCAGAACAGTAGAGATACCTCCTCGCTTTGGGGTGTCTCTGCAAAGCAAACAGCCTTTGGCTGCAGAGGCTTTCTGTTTTTTTCTAAGGGATATTGTGTCTTGAGGAACAGCTTGCGTCTCTGGGGCACTGCAGCATGCTGTCGCGTCTCGCGGCCTGTGTGGGGAGTCAAAGCTACCTAAAAAAGCAATGTGCATGAAGGCACATATATATATATATATATATATATATATATATATATATATATATATATATATATATATATATATATATAAGTAGTGATGTGCGTAATATATACGCAGATCTGCGCATCTGTTTTTCCATATGCACAAATTGCGCATGCATACATGAGTTATATTGGAAACGGGGCGGAGCTAGGCTCCTATGTACCCCGAACTCGGAGCGGTCACCTCTTGAACTCCCCCCGCGAATTGTCTCCAAATGAACCATTCCATAGCGAGCTGTCGCCGCACGCATTGTCTCCCCACAAACTGTCTTCTGCTGAGCTGTCTCTTCATAAAGTGCATCCTCCCCAGTCGCCTCCTGAACTGTCTCCTGCCAAGTTCTGAACAGGCGTTTTTAGATTGCCCCCGCCTGAGCCGTTTTTCAGTGAGCTGTCTCCTTGTGGACTATCCCTTGGCACATTGTCTCCTACTAGACTGTCTCCCTGACTATCTCTTGCGGGAGGATCTCTGTCAGGCGATATATACTATCCTCTGAGAGACAACCACCCGCCAGGCACCGCTCTCCTCTGCGACACTGCCTCCCCATAGTTGGTCCGTCGGTACAGTGTTCCCTAGCTAACAAGGCTATGGCTACCGCGGAATAGAGAGACTAACGTATCCCTTGAAGGACTGCATACTAGTACACTGTCTCCAAATAGGGAGGCAGCGCCCAGAAAGTGTGTAATACTAGTCTCCCCCGAGGCTGTCTCCTAAGACGTTGGTGCTTGATACGCCGTTCCCCTGCACACTGACTGCCAACAGAAAGTGACTGCCTCCTAAGAAACTGTCCCCGTTGGGGTGTCTGCTTTCAGATGGGAAGAGGCAGCAGCACTGCGGTAGGCGGCCTCAGTAGCGGCCTTGCGACAGTGCATGTGCGAGAGGGTTTGGCGCAGCCTCTTGCTGCTTGCTCGTTGCAGTCTCCAGGTATTTGATAGAGGAAAGAGTGAGTAAAGTCTTAGGGCTGGTGCCAGAGCCTATGCTGTCTCCTTTGGGTGACTGCCGCGCGAACCCCGCCACCATCCCCTCCCCTCCAACCAACCCCCGCGAGCCTCCCTCAAAAATAGCATCAAAAACTGTCCTCAACTGCTAGCCAAGAAGAACCGTAGATGGCACCAAGATTACAGTCAGCGCATGGTGACAGGGGTCGCACGGGACACACAGGGGAGACAGAAGACAAAGAAACAAAAGAAGGCATCCGGGAAGAGCCGGAGATGCACGAACTCCCTTTTCATATCTCCACGATGATCCTGCAGCATCAGCTGTACGTATAGCTCAGCCGTACGTGCATCTCAACTGTCTGCCACAGGCCAGGCTGAGTTCTGGCTGGAGAGCCTGATGATGTCCCCCTGAAGTATCTTGGGGACTAAGGAGGACGGGTGGAGAGGCGTGAGTGTGTTTCTAGCCGCCGCGAAGACAGGTGGCCAAATGATGTCTCCGTAAGATATGGGGCGAGCCCGCAGCATAAAATATATATTGTCCCTGCTACTAGCTGCTGGGCTTGCATCAGTAGGTGCCGCCGCCTCTGTACCTCGCGGCGCCACATCAACGGCGTCGGCTGGACTTTGCGCATGCTTGCGTTTGCCTGCGTGGGGCGGTTTGCCGTTTGCGTTGTTGCTGCTGCCTCCAGCGCTGCTGCTGCTGTTGCTGCTGCTTCTGCCGCAGCATCCTTGTTTTTTGAGGGCAGTGAGAGGCTCGAAGGAGACACCTGCGGCAAGGAGGTGTGGGGCTGTCGCCCGAAAGGCCAGGAGACAGGTAGGGTAGGCGAGGAAGAGACAGACGGCGAGACGGAGCAGCGCATGGGTTCCGAAGACAAGGAGCCAAAGGAGGAGGTAAGATATGTAAAATACCAAAGTTGTCGGGAAGAGACACACTGTGATTGTAAACAAAATGCAACCGATAAGCAGCTGGTCCATCTGCAAGTCCGCCGAGTCCACACGACGCCGCAGGACGTTCCACTTCTGTCCCCTGCAGGCACTCGCAGAAAGAGGCAAAGATACTGACACCAACCCGCAAACAAAAAGGCAAACACGGATGCTGATACACCGCACAAACAAAGACGCTGACACACCCCACAAACACAAAGCCAAGGAAATGCCTGACAAACAGAACAAAGAGCAAGACAACACACAAGCACCAAACAAACGCCAACCAGGCGCCGCCCCACACGAAGCGGATCAAGCTGCTGCAGCTTTCCAGGCACAACAATGCATAAACTCCATCCCCTGTCTCTTTGTCTGGCTGTCTCTTCGTCGCCTTTTCTCATTTCGTCTCTTTACTGCGTGGCCAATGTCCCTTTGGGGGGGGTCCAGGATTACCCGTGGGGCCCCCTGACCGCTGAACGGCTTCAGCGGCCCCTCAAGTCTCAAGAGTTGCTTTAAGCACAGCTTTTCTCAAGGACTGTACTACGGCTCTCATATCATGCGGTTCTACTTATCGATGCCTTATAAGAACGCCGCTCCCTTGGGGTCCGCTGGCTACGCGCCAACGTAGCCCTGGTGAAGGCTACGCTCAGGCCTCCTTATGGGAATGCGAGGACTGTAGAGACGGTCTTGGTCATAAACCTTAAGTATACTAGGGTCTGGGTCGCGTCAGTGCCACAAAAATAACGCTCTAAGGGAGCCTTAGGGATGCTACAGGGAGAAGAGTGAGAGACAACGGGCAGCTAAAATGGAGGGGACTGCAATTTACCTGAAGAGCAGAAAGAGCGAATGCAGACTCTTGAGGTTCACATGCAGCAGCCTGGCGCACACGAGGTACACGTAGAATATGTGCAGTGTCCCCACCATCAACAGGTCTGCAGACGCAGCAGCAAACAACGACGCCGACAGCCCCAGCCAACCCAGACGAAAGGTCATTAGCACAGAGCCAAGCCCCGTCTTGACCCATAAGTGACACGCGCTCCACACCCGCAAAAACTTGCCCCATAAGCCCCTGATGCTGGTGCTGCTGCCGCCGCTTCCGGCCGGGACAGGTTGTTGGGGAGCAGCGAACGTGTTGGGGTTGGTGGGGGCTGAAGGTTCTTCGCCCGTCTGCTGCCAGAGCAATGAGCGCAGCATGTGAGAGGCAGTTGCAACCGTCTCGTTCAGAGACTGAAGCAGGCCTGGGGGTGTGTGGGGCTTGGCAGTGTGTTGTTTGGTGTGCTGTTGCATCTGCAGTTGCTGCAGCTGTAGCAGCAAGCCACGTTTGCGCTCTTCGGCGGTGGCGACCGCAGAGTGGAGGTAAGCAGTCAGGTCGTTCCAGAGGTGCGAGGCGGTCAAGACAACGGAGCCGAGGACCCAAGTTAAGTTGGCGTTCAGCTTGAGGCCCGCAGGGAAATCCATCAGCCACTGCACATGAGCCGTTAACAAGTCTACATGCAGAAAACAGTAACACCCGCTGAAAAGCCGCAGCAGCAAAGTCGATGTCGGCTCCACCATCAACTCTCGCCAAGAAGGCTGCTCCCGAGGCACCACCCCTCCCCCGTTACGCAAGCCAGCTGCCTGCCCTCTTGATTCTGATCCTGCTGCTGCGGCTCCTGCCGCTTCTGCTGATCCTGATGCTGCTGCTCCTGATGCTGGAGGGGATGCTGCCGAAGACGCTACAGCCGCGGGGCAGCTATGCTCGCTCGAATCGTATTGAGCCTTCAGGCTCCTATCCGCTATATCAACCCCAGAGAGTCCTCCGTCATGTTGCAGCTGCTGCTTCTGCTGCTGCTGATCCTCCAGCTCGTGCAGCAGCGAGACCCGCTGTTGTTGCTGCTGCCGCTCCTCTTGTGGGAAGGGATACAGCTGGGGAGGAGCGGTCTCGCTGAGAGAGATGGGCCAAAGGGGCGACAAGGCAGCTGGCTCTGAAGGCGGCGTCTTGAGGCGCGAGAGATACTCTGGAGAGCAGGCATCTGCAGGGATGGCCCGATAAATGAGCACAGCCAACAGCTGCGGTAGGAAGAGACCCAGGAGCACATCCACAACCACAGCAGCAATGCTGGTGTACAGACACAACGCGGAGACAGACAACCCCCCAGGCAAGGATGACCGTTGAAGCCGAGGCTGAGGAGACACCAGTGCAGGTACACGCATATCGCCTAACTGCAGAGCCCCTGATGCTGCTGCCGCCGCCGCCTGTTGCTGTTGTTGCTCCTGCTCCCGCCGGCGGCAATCGTCCAGAGCAGCAGCAAATCTTCGCTTGCGGCTCAGAGCCCCAGGCCACGACGCACAAATCCGAAATCTCATAACAATCTGCTGTAACGAGGCAGAAAACCACAAGATGCTGCTAGGCGCAGCGAAGGGCATCCACAGCCGTAGTGTGCATACACCCCGACACACGACGCCCACGCAATTTGCAAATGACAACAATAGATAACACAACAGCTCCAACAACGCAACCAAACAGCCAACAAAACGGACACGGCAGGAAGAAGGCCTGGAAAAGTTCTCCCCTCCCTCTCCCTGCTGCTCCTCCTGCGCGGCTACGCCGGGTGGAGTCGACTCAGTACCGCGGGGCGCTGCCGCTGCTGCTGTCGCTTCTGCGGAAGATGCTGCCCCAACTGCTGCAGCTGCTGCTTGCTGACGCAACTGCAGCAGCCTCCAGCAGCGTAGCTGCTGTTGAATGCTACTGTAGACGGCTGCGGAGACGTTAAGGAGTGCCAGATATGCCTCGAAACCACACAACTGGTCGTTACCACCTCCCCGGTGATGCCGCATCAGCATCCGCTGCTGCTGAAGCTGCTGCTGCTCCTGGCCACCGGTGCCAATTCCCTCCGCCACTTGCTGCAGCAGAGCCCGCGCAGCTGTTGGCTTCTGAACAAAGGCGGCAGCAGCAGAAGCCTGCGCTGCATCGTGTGGAGCAGCAGCAAGCGTGCTGCTGCTCACCCAAGACGGCAACCTATACAAAAATACCACACAGCGAGGGGAAGCTGTAGCTGTTGGTGATAGCGGCGCTTCCGGTACAGCAGGAGGGCCTTCGCCTGCTGCTGTGTCGGCTCCCGAGTTCCGTGCAGGACGCCTGCCGCCTTCTTCAGCAGCAGCTGCTGCTTTGGCCGAAGTAGCAGCATGGTCCCTTGCTGCTAAGTGCGAGACAATACTGAGTGGCACAGGAAGGCCTGAAGACCCTTCTAACCAAAGGTCTAGCCAAACGGCTGTGTTTTGCGCCTCAACCCCAGTCTGGTCCCGTTCCTGGTGCTGCTGCTGCTGCAGCTGCTGCTGCTGCAGGAACAGGAACACCTCACCCTGAGGAAAGGGACAAGTGGCATTGAAATCTGCTCCTCGCCACCAACCAATAAGTCCTACGGGCTGCGGCAGCACGTGGTAGTCGAAGACAAGGTCGCCTTCATTCCTTGCCCCGCTGGTCGTTCCGCTGCTGTTACGGTTCCTGTTGCTGCTAGTGCTTTCGCTGCTCTCGTTGCTGCTGTTGTTGCTGCATGCGCCTTGTTCGGATTTACTGGGGGCAGAGGACTTCAGAAGCCTCTCATTGAGCTGCTGTAGGAAAAGAGCGACGAGGGGCAACGGCAGCGGCGGGAGGAGGCTGCAAGCGACGGCTGTTCCGTCTGGCAGCCCCCACCCCACAAGCCATCCCCTGTGTGCCTCAAGGAGTGTCAGGGGAAAGAAAAGCCGAAACAGCGGAGAGCAAGCCACCGGCAAGCTCGAGGTAGGCGGCCTGGCGCCCTTATCCGGCGGGGGCAGGGGATGGACCAAGCCGACTCCACAGGCGCCGAATGGAACCACCGGTATATCCGATTCAGCTGGGCAGATCCCCGTTGCTGGCGCAGCGCAGACTGGTGGGTGCATGGCGGACGAAGTGCTGCTGCTGCTGCTGCTGCTGCTGCTGCCTGCTGGGGTCACTCATGCGGGAGAGTAAGACAAACGGAAGACAAGGCGTTCATTTCGAACCATTAAATATTGTCTAAAAACAGGGTAGAAAAGGCACTAATGCATTTATACTTTAGAGAACAAGGGGGGCACTCTGCTGCGGCTGCGGCTGGGGCGGGCGCAGTTGGCCACGGTACAAACAATAATGCTGCTGCCAAGGCCCCCAGAAAGCACAACTGCTCCCTGCACAGTCCACTACTCACATTCAAAAATCTCATCGGAGATTCGAAAGAAACGGGGGCGACAACAGCAGGAACGGCAACAACCGCGCAACACACAGGAACGGACCGTGTGGAACCGTGGCTAACGGGGGCCCCCCGTGTTGTGCCTTGCGGTTCTGCACGGCCAATCCAGATTGCCCTTGTACTTAAGAATTGATACTTCACTAGATATTTATGGAGTAAAGGCCCAATGAATAGTCTTTCATCTACGTTATAGCGAATGCCAGCATGGCGATCAGAGCTTACTTCGGTACTCGCGTAGACGCGCGGCTGTCTACTCGGACCCCCAGACTAGACGTACGGCCAATGGTGGGATGGAACTCACAGGCGGTCGGCTGAGTTATCGCGGCCTAGAATTGCGAGGTGACAAAACTCCCAAAATATATGAGAAACATAGTTCTGGCCGGGCCCTGAGTCCGTCGACCGTTAGATGTACCCTGGTCTGCCTGCAATTTCTAAGGCGGGCTTCTGGCTTTACTGAAGGACTACAACGAGCTGCAATGAGGCTGAAGACTTGAGGAAAGAATTCTCCCCCCCAAAATCAGCTGACACCCTAACCCTGTCTCCAGGCGTCCTGAGCGTTGAGCTCGACGCCCTGGGGGTCGTGGGGAAGGAGGCAGCCTANCAGCCTAACTGGAGTTGCCGCACCTCGCCGCGCCTAGCGATGCAAGCCAACCTCACGTCTGCACAAAGGGAAGCTTTGTGCTTCCTTTACTGCATGCTTTACCTGCGTATACGCTTGGACTTGTTAGGTTGCGTGCAAGGAAGTGCAAACGTTCTATGTGTACTCAGGGGTAAAACATGCAGCAAAAGAAGCTTAGCTGAAGCTTCCTTTTGTGCACGCGGGAGGCTGGCTTGCTTCACGTACACTGCTGTTGGTCTGCGGCGACAAGGCCATCGTGCTCCTCTGGTGCTGCGTGTGTTTTGCTGCTGCTTGAGAAGCAGTTCCTGGCGCTGCTGCTGCTCCAGCGGCTGCGCATGCTGCTTCTGCTGCTGCTACTGCTGTTCGCTGCCCCTTCGCGTAAGTGCCGGCTGTTGCTAGTAGAAAGCAACACATTGTGGTAGACAGAGGGCAGAGAAGGCCCAATTGGCAGCCTGTCGAGGGAATCACCCAGCTGCTGTTGCTGCGTCGGGCGCCGCCTGTCCTGCTGCTGCGGAAGCGGGAGCGGCAAGCACCACGCCGCTTTCCCGTTGCCTACACTCCTGGAGGTGGATTAATAGAAAGGTAAAACATAAGTGAAATAATGGAAAGAGCAGAGGAGCTGCAGCTGCTCCAGGGGTGCTGGAAAGGCAGGTTGGGTGCCCAGTTATGGAACTAAGAGATCATTTTACGCCCATATTTTTGCCGATTCTTGTATCCTGCCTTCCATCCGCGAAGTGCAGCCTCAATGATTGCGCCAGCGAGTGAACGGGTAGGCTGTACTTCTTGGCTGGGGCTTCCGATATCAGATTCACTTCGCATCCCTTATCGAGTAGGGCTTGTAACTCCTGCCCTTTAATGCGTACTTGCATAAGCACCGAACTGAATCGAGATGGATCTGTGGGTGCAACCGTTTTCTCATGTGGCCCCATCACGGCGCGGCACGTTGCTTGAGGGCCTGCGCATTTTCCTGCTTGTTCTGCTTGTTCCCTTGGCGGCGCTGTTC